CCTTCACCACGTGATCCCTAAATTCTTCGTCATTTTATTTTTTTCCCCACACTACTACAAAAAAGAGCTTTTACGATACTAATTTATGGCGGTTATCAGAAAAAAAACACTGTAACAAATATGACGATGGTATTTCTGTAATTATAAGCATACTTTTAACAGCGGTTTTTTAAATAACCGCCGTAAAAAGTCTATCAGAATTTTAAAATCCTTCACGCTATAGTTTTCACTTTTCAGAGTTAGAACTCATAGTCCCCTATTACTGTCTTCACTTGATTTTCTCCCTCCTCCTATCTTTGTCGGTGTTTATCATTTGCTTCTATCATCTCCACCATGTTCTTCCATCACCGCCGCTGTCACTGTCGCTGTTGCCGTTGCCATCGCCTCATCCTCTTAATTCTTATTTGTGAGTTTTTCACCTCCATTCTTTCTGTGAATTTCATAGTTTTTGTGGTTTGATATGATTATTTTTTTGGTTAAAAATATGATGTTTAATCTAAGTCTGAAGAGATCTGATTTTTATTAAATATGAGTATTTGATTTTACTAGATCTGAGTCTTTGATTTTATCTTTATTAAATCTCAGTGGCTTCGATCTGGTGGTTGAAGCTGAAGCTAAATGGTGCTATTATGGCGAGAAAAAATCTACGCTTGCTCCATCAGAATACTTTCTACTGTTAAGAGATTATTGATGAATTGATTTTCAAACCCCTTTTTTTGAGGCTTTGTTCTCCTGTTCCCTAATCAACAGGGTGAAACGTAAAATCAAAAAAAAAAAATTCATAGCGGTTATTTATATAACTGCTGTGAAAAGTCATTTACTACGGCGGTTTTTAAACTGCCGTGAAATCCTCTACATTGGCATGGACGTCACTCTCAAAGCCGCTGTAAAAAGCTCATTTTAACTGTTGTTAAATGTTTTTTTTGTAGTAGTGCCACCTTTCGATCCTCTTTATCTCTCTCGGGTGGGATATGCATTATGACTTGTTAGTTGTCACTGGTTTTTTTTTTCACTTTCTTCAACGTGGCTCAGAGTTGTCCTTTAGGTGTTAGTTTATATTTCCAATTCCAAACCTCCCCCTTCCTCCTTGCCTTTTACCATTACACAAGTTGCAAGGGTTGAGTTATGAAGTTTCAGAGCACTGTTCATGGCTTCTCCTGGTATAGATCTCGTCGGCTCTCATTGAAGCATCAATCGTGATGATCTAATGAGTGGGAAGGGAAGAGAAGTTCAATGTGGAAGAGAAACTTAGGTGAATGGTGAGTAGAGTCGATGTCTGGATCATTTTTGTCAGGATTATGTCAAGTTTGAAAAATAAACCGGTGACTCGCCTAACCCAACGAGTTACTCAGATTGATCGCGAGTTATTCCGAGTCAAGTTGAGTCACACTAGTTTGAAGTGTTTTTGGTTTTAGGGATGAACCGGGCCAGACAAGTGGCTGATTCACCAGTTTCAAGCCTAAACTGGCCGATCCGGTTCGGTTTTAAATATATTGGTTGAGATATACATGGAGACAAATTGGTTCTTGTCCTAGAGGAATTGCCTTTCCATTCATCAAACAAATGCACCAAGAAAGTGAGTAATAGAGATTCCAATTATTGGATTTTTGGGCTTGGATCCGCTCTTGACGGGCTAGATTACTTGATTGGATATTAAGATAATATTCCAATCAAATATGCAAGCAAGATTATGACATTTTGACTTGGTCAAACATTTTGAGTCAAATCCAATCAGTTATGATATAAGTTAAATTAATTTATATTGTACAGATTAAATATATACTAGAGATGTACTCCTCTGATCCTTAATATAAAACTTATTTGACTAATTTGATTAGATTAAAAAAGTTAAATAAGTTAGTTAGTTATAAGAAATATGACATGTTTTTTCTAAAACACCATAATTATCTTTCTTAATATCCCCCCACTCCTCACTTACTTGATTATGATTGAGAGAATATCCCCATACCACAGGAATACTTTAAGAAAAATTAATAAATATAAAAAATAGGTCTTATATTTAGGATCAAAACTAACTTAACAATTAGGTCCTATATTAAGTATAGGAGGAGTGTATATTTAGAATTAATTAAAGTTGATTCTGGATTTAAATTCAAATTCACAATCTTATCAATTAAGAGATATTTGAACTTTCGAATTCAAATTTGAACTGGTAGACTAAGTGGATATTTTGTCTTCCCAAAATATCCTTGACCAAAGCTATAAATAGATGCCTCCATCCATCAATTCAACTCACCACAATAGTTGAGTTTTCCTACTCTCTCCTTTCTCTATAATATTTTATCATGTGGTGTTCTGCTGTGCCATTCAGGTTTAGACTCTAGTAGTCTAAACTCTATGTAAGCATCAATAAATCAACTTGTAGAGTTTTGGAAGAATAACTCGGATATGAATATGAATCCGACCCTATAGGCATTATTTTTCTTTATATTTAATATTTCTAACACTAATAAACTCTTATAATTTGACCCACCAAGTCATATATTACGCCTATTTGGAATTCTTATAAATATCACCATGATAGCTAAAAGGTTATAAGAGTGGTTTCTTATTTATCAGAGTTTGAGAGATGCTTGTTTGGAAAATCTCCTTTTATGGAGCTGGCGACAAAAGCTCTTCAAATATATATGTGTGTGAGCGCACACGCTTACTCTATGAAGTGCAAAATCATTTAAAATGAGCTAATCCAAATACCGTTATTTATTAATTTTAAACCACTACATACCATAGTGTACATGTGAAAGCAATATATATAAAGTAACCAGATTGCATTTAATTACTATTTTATGTCTTTAATATAAGAAATAGTTGACTAATTTGAGTAAATTAAAAAAATTTATTAAGTTAGTTATTTGTAACAAATAAGTGGTCTTTTTTAAAATACTTTTGCTAATCAAGTGTATTGACTAGAACTACCATTTGATAGAATATTTAACATATGCAACTACTACAAGGACTACTTTGAAAAAAAATGAATAAATATGAAAAGCAAAATGATTAAGGTCTTATATTTAGAATTTAAATTAAAAGTCAAACAAGTTCTTATATTAAGAATCGAAGGTAGTCGGATATAATTAAGTATATATATATAGCCTAGAATTAGGAATTAAAATATGACTATTGATTATTGAATCCAATATTAATTAACTAGATATATGCACATATGTGGTATGGAAAACATAAATCTATATCTATGCTGGATGAGTGCAGTGTGTGTGTGTGTGTGTTACTTGCGTATATACTCAAATAAACACACATATAAACTATTTCCTAAGATATATGTACATATACACACAAAAAATACAAACTTTATGTACGGTTTTTTAACTGTTCGAAATAAAATTATTCAATTGGAATGTATAACATTGTCTTTTTCAAACAATACATAGGATATACCAATATTTACCTTTAAAAATTATATACTATATATATTTATTAAAAACCTTATGACAAACGTTAATCACCTAGTCGTGTTATAACTCAATTCATACAATCATAAAAATTAAAAAAAATGATTAAGAAATTTTTTTTGGACAACCATTATGCGCAACATGCATTAATACTCTCTTTAAAAGTTTTGGTTTATTTGGAATTTTTTAAACAAAATGTTGAATGCAGTTTATTCAATCTTTGGCAATAGTTGTGATGGTTTTGAAGAAAAGGAGAGGAACAAGATTTTATAGGGTGTGACACAATTAATAAGATAACAGATTATTTCTTTTCGAATATATACGTCCAAATTTAATATTTGAATCTTAGAAGAAGTGTTTACATTATAAATATTTCCTTTTTTGTACAAAAAATGGTTTTGAACTTTGTACGTGTGTGTTGGCACTATGTTTCATCCTTGAAATCTTAACAAAAAAAGAAATGGCTTTTTAATTTTGTTTTTTTCTGAGTCTATTTTTTTCTGGGCCTCAGCTATCACTTTATCCCAAAATATTAACAAATAAAGCATAACTTAGCCCAACGACGTTCTGAACGCCTAGAGTCCACAGTCTTTTCAATGCTATTACTAGCATTATCCCTATATGATTTAACTTTTTTTTTTAATGTAAAAACCATCTAAACAATTTTCAATATAAAAGGAATTTGTGTTATAAAAATAAGTTGATGCATAAATTTGTTCTGAAAATTTTCATCTAAAAAACTAGAAAATTTTGCTTTAAAAATTAAAAATCACAACAATATTATTTTTTTTGGCTAAAAACATTAATCATTAATATTTTAATTTTTTATTTTATTAATAAAATTTTTACTGAGAGTGACATCTTTTTGGGAGAATTATCAAGAGATTCTAAATAAAAAATTTAATTATAAAAAAGTTCTAATAATAAACTATCAATCTAAACCTGTTATTATTTTTCACATTAAAACTTATCATTGCTTAAGTAAATAATTTAAAGTAATTAAATTTTTTTTGAGATTTTATTGTAATTTTTTTACCTTATTTTTTAGGGAGAATTACAATGAAGTTCTAAACAAGAAAAACAATTAAAAAATAAATTTTAGAGATTGTCATTTTTACTATAAGATTTGTCATTATAAACTGTTGACATTGTTATTGAGACTTTTTAGTAATTATTTTTTTTTATAAGTAAGACTTGACTGTAATTTTTCTTATTTTTTACCAAATTTAGCTTCTACTTTTAGGATCAACCCAGGAGAGGTACTTGTATGATTTGATATCCGCAGTTATGTACTTACCATTCAGGTACTGTCTCTTTCCGTATCCAAGCATAGTTGTGTGGCCTTTAAATGTCAGAGTACCGAAACTTGTTGGCGCCCGAATGCTATCACAGTGAAATTTCAGAGGGAAAACCCATAAAACCCTCATTGACGCACTGCGACTTCCTGAAATTCTCCCCAATTCGGCTGACGGCTATCAGATCATTTCTCCTTCTCTCTCCCCTCCGTTACTGCTCCCAGTTTTAGAATCCCAAAGCTACTACAATGGTGTAGACATAACAAGCTCCAAAGTTTAGGTTTTTCACTTTTGTCATCCACGCGCAGGGGCCATGCTAATCCGATAAAACTTTACTTTTGTAATATTGGTTGATGATGATTGCTTTTTCTTGGCTTAACAGCCTCTAATTCTTTGATTTCTTTTCGTGCATTTCATAATTCATACCCACATATCGTCATTGTAACAGAACAAAACAGAACACCTCCTTGTCCTCTTCCTTACGTTGTAATGTCCCTCCTGTCTATCTCCTCATTTCCTCGGTTCCTCGCATTCTCCAGCGGCCGCCGCCGTGAATCTACTTCTACCACCTGTCTGGTTCCTCCCCTCCGATGGAACCGTTGCCTCAGTTTGCCGCAGGCAGGGCGTGTCGGCTTTCTGGGTTCTGCTACGGAACCAGCTGTTGTTAGATTTATTCCGCGTGGTCTCGGCGCCGTCGCAGAGGATCTGCTTCATGATGCCGGAGCTACGGTGGCGGTTCTCGTCGGAGGATACGCTCTCGTGTTCGCTTTTAATGACTTGACGCGGCGGGAGGTTCTTCAACAGGTATCTGGCAGTCTGGCTCTCAACCTGACTTGCATGCATGAGATGAATCTTGATAAATCACTTCTCGATTCCCCCCCCCCCCCCGGTTTCGGTTCTAAACGCTATAGGGATTTTATAACTGGCTGGGGCATGGGGCATTTTTATTGCACTGTTCTCTTGACTCGGTGTCGGTGGCTTATTTATTGACCTTTAGTATTGATTCTAATTGATGTCAGAACCTGAGCAGAAAACTGGTTCATATGCTCTCTGGATTGCTCTTTGTAGCTTCCTGGCCGATTTTCAGGTATCCGACATCTCTCTGTTAGAAAATTCCTCATTTATAAGCACTTTTCACTCGCAATGCTTTCTCAACTTTGAAATGTGGGTAGGGGGTACCATTTGAAGTGTCAGATATAATGTATGTATGGCTTCTGATCGAACTGCTTCTTGGTGCTTCATACATTTTCATTTTCACTGGAATGTGGTTTTGAGATTTTGACTCTGCAAAGACTGGTTTGTTTGAATGGCTAAATCCAAAGATAGCAACTCTATAGGGGCTCGCTACTTTGCTGCCTTTGTTCCTCTGGTGAATTGCTTCAGGCTTGTGGTGAATGGTCTGTCATTGACGTCTGATGAAGGATTGATTAAGTCCGTGACCAGAGAAGGACAGCCACGGTAATTTTCTGAACCGTTATTTGTCATTGCGTATTATTCAGCCGTGATGTAATGTTGATTAAAGTATTGAACTGGAATTGAACTCTTGATTATTTATATGCCTGCAGGGAATTGCTGAGGGGTCCCCTGTATTATGTTTTGATGCTGATGTTATGTTCTCTTATCTTTTGGCGAAATTCCCCTGTCGGGGTTGTCTCCTTGGCAATGATGTGCGGAGGAGATGGTGATAATCCTGCTCTTTTTTCATTTTTTTCGGAGCTCAACCTCTCATGTTTTACCCTTTTCATCAGAAGACGCACATCTCGCATTATTTTTTTGATAAAGCACGATCATCTCACATTATATTTCCATCCTTACCTTTGGCAGAAAATTAGATATGAAGGACCTCTTTGACCATAAGTGGACAAAAATGCTCGTCATAAGAAACCTAAAACCCATAAGTATGGTTATTAGCCAATATGCAACTCTTTAATCATCATTCCCTCCCCTTGAGTTTGTCATCGGACATGAACTGCAGAAGTGGGATTCGTACCTGTATTCAAGTGCTAATTTCAAACTTTTCGAGAGTGTTTACATATTAGACCAAAAGCCTTTACTATTAATCATTGTTCGTACACCTATTTTTTATCAACCCATCTCCATGACTTTGTAGTGCCACTTGGGTGAACCCAAATTGTGGGTCTTTACTTGCTTATGTTGTAATAATTTTAGAAGTCCTCTCTTGCTTTGATAAGTCTAGGTGGCAAATGAAAGTCTAGGTTGCAACTTTCATAGGCTATAACTTGTGCATGCAAACTATACCAGAGTTAGAAAGCAAGATAGTAAGAAATTTAAATCATGGTAGTCATGATTTTAAAAATGCTCTGTGATTCCAGAGTCTAGGTGGTAATTTTTTGGGGAAAAAATAGTTGGGAGTATTTTTCTCCATTTATGACAGATTCAGGTCCTGTGATCTTTCTAATTCATTTGAGTTTTATAAGACCTGTTCATTGTACATGCTTCACAAAGTTATGGTCCTTGGATGTAATTACCCTTTTTGTAATTTGATCAATGAATTAAGGCATGAGTCTTGAGCGTCAAATGCTTAAGTCTTTTTGTGAGGTCAAACTATTTATAGAATTGTCCCTTAAATCCTAAATTGGCTCTTGCTTTTCTTTTCTCTCTGTTTCTAATGGGCGTTATAACTGGATGATTTTCAGGTATAGCTGATATTATTGGCAGAAGATTTGGATCTGTGAAGATTCCTTACAACAAGAACAAGAGTCTGGCTGGTAGCATATCCATGCTTGCTTTTGGATCATTCATTTCAATTGGGTAAGTCCAAGTTTCCATCTTTAACCACTTCTTCACTGACCTGTAGTCAATTCTCTTTTTAAGACCTGTACTCAATTCTCTCTCCCTCGTATAGCTAGCTAGCTGTATCAACTAATGAAATGGACAAACATGTGCAACATGGAAGATATTCTGTTGGTAGACGTTTTAGATGCACATAATGGGCGAACTTCTTCAGTGGACTGGATAAAGATATGTATACATGTATGTATATATAATCATGTCAAATGTCTATATAGATCCTCTCCGGTGGTGCAGACGATTGAAGAGGATCCAGTCAGTCTAAATAGGTCTTTTTTGTGAGGATACAAAAGTGAATATAAAAGATAAAAAATGTCTGTGAAGTTAAAATTTTTAACCAAGAAACGTTATACCTTAAAAATCTCAGCTATACATGGGAAAAAAAAACACCTTAAAAATATGTTGACAGATTAGATTCTGTCTGATTGTCTTTTATCATACACATTTTTAGTAATAATCACTTTTGACATGCCCTTTGATAATGGACTTTATCCTTCTACTTTTGTTGCCTAAGATGTTTTTATGGATAATATTCTAATTGGCTTTGCAAAGAGCTAATAAAAACTCGCTAGAATGTTATGGCATTTTGGTGATTTCACATCTGGGTTTTACTAACATACTCATTTTGGTAAGTTTACATAGGCTCAGGTTCTTTGTACAATCAATAGGTGCTAAAAATGAATGCAAGAATATTTCAATTCTGAGGTAGATTTTGACATACTGGTGCATCTATGTATGTGTAGGATGCTGTACTACTATTCAGTGTTGGGATATATGCAGTTGGATTGGGGACGCACAGTGCAGAATGTAGCTTTGGTTTCTTTGGTGGCAACAGTGGTGGAATCCCTTCCTATTTCAGAGGTTATTGATGACAACATCTCTGTTCCTATTGCAACCATGGCTGTGGCTTCTTTCACCTTTTATGCATAGATTTTCAACTTCAAATCCCTTGAAGTATCTCAGGATATGAAATCAAGACAGGCTAGCTGAGCTCCACTTGCACAAGACTCAAACATGCAGGTAGGGGTGGAATGGGACCCACTCCTTTCCTTTTTCCTCTTTGCTACAACTTTAGAGAATCTGGGCTCCTGCTTCTAAATGCCTATTACTACATATTAGCCCCATCTCCATCAAATAGTAAATGGATCAGTTGAACAGACAAAGCAAGTGTTCCAAACAGTAGAATCTTCGTTGAGCTGGAAAGTGAGTGGTTTTAGTAGAAAGGTATAGCCGTGTAGGTCCATCTGGTGACATCTGAACAGATTACTACCCCAAAATTTAATATGGAAGCACATTAGACAATTTTAAGTTGATCCCTCACTAATATATCTGGTTATATTCATGTATTTATGATCATGATTAGTGATGTGATTTAGAATAAACTACACTTTCATCTAATGAGATACTTAAATTACATATATTTTTATGATAAAAAATATACACATTTTCTCTGAAGCTAGAAAATGTTATAATAATTAAAAAAAATTATAATACAACTCTTTTATGAAACTGTAATTTAAAAAAAATATTTTTTGACAATATTTATATTTATGGTATTTATTTTCACGGGAGAAATATAGATCAATCTAAAATTTTATTATGAAAAATATTTTCAAGAGTTAAGGTATAAGTTTGTCCTGAAAATTTTTACTTAAAAGTGTGAGGTACTCTGGAAGTCTTTTTTATGCAGATTTGTTCCAAAAATCTAAACTTGCAGCGATATAGGCCCTAATTGATGTGTCAAATATAATCTGTGTTAAATGAAGTTGGAGTTCCACAGACAGTCAGCAATGGTAATTGTGAACTAAGTTGACAGCAATTAAACCAAATTTAGTTAAATAGATTGAGGATCGTTTTTTCAGTTAATTCTTTCATCTAAATTTTAATCAATTTTTTGTAATTTTTCAATTAGTTTAATAGTTTTCTCAGTTATAAATATTAAATTTTATAGTCAAAATACGTTGAACCTTTTTTGTTAAAAAAAAAACAAAGAGGAAATTCTAATCCTGTCCAAACAATAGGCGTCATGACCACGCTTAAGCTTAACACTGTACATCTAACCTAAGCCCATGAATCTTAACCCAAAGTCTGATCATGGAACCCACAGGATTTAATGTTAGGTGACCCATTACTTCACGCCTAGCAAACAAAAGCAATTTTTTAATTTATAAATTAAAGAAAAAAAAAAAACAAAGTTAAGATCTTATTTATAAATTAAAGAAATAAGTTTTTTCAATTTATAAGTCACACATCAATTTTTTCATTAATGTAAAATTTTTATTATTATTGTGCTTTTTAAAGTGTATATAACTAAGGATAGAATTAAGAAATTATTAAATTTTAAGATATAAAATAGTTAATGAGATTTAAGGTTTTTATTGATTCTTATAAATAAAATTAAAAGTATTAATCTAGTTTGTAGGATAGATGGAATATATTTTTTTCCTTATGTTTAATGAACCAATTTTAAAGACCACAAATTTATGATGGGTTTTCCAACTTTTAATTACTTTCTTATGATCCATTCCTTTCTAAGCCCAAGAGGAATTTTCTTTGTTGGGGGATCTAGTATCAACACCCACATTTAAAGATCAATATATCAACCAAACAATAAATAAAAATAATCATCAATGGATATATGCTTGAACCTGAATTCTCCAAATTAAAAAGTTATTTGACATAAATTAAAAATGAGGAAAATATATGTAAAATATATTCCATAGCTCACTCATTCGTTAATTTATTCCTTCTTATTTCAGAAACATTAAAACAGATAGAGTTAAAATTCGTATGTACCCAAATTATTCCATAGAAGATAAATACTTATTCTGTTTTTTTTTTTTGGGCATTTGAAGTGGATAAAGATCCAAGGAGAAGGTTGTTCACTCTCATAAAGGGCAAAAAGGTACTTTACTTCCTTATCTACTTTCACCTAATTATTCTTCCACGTCCTTGTCGTTAATTTATGCATGGTTCCAATTATCCAACAATCTCAAATCCCTTTTTCTCTCTTATTTAATGCTAGGAAAATTGGAGAAAAGTCATTCATTATTAATTATTCTAATTAAATTCTGTCTTAATAAACAAAAATAATAGTAGCTAGTAATAAAAACTACTATATCTCATTTCATCTAACAAGGATTAAATAGTAAATTTATGACAATCAAACCTGCATTAAAAAGAAGATTAGGAAAAAAATTCATTAAGAATTCTATAGAATATTTAATTAACTTTTTAATTTTCAGTTTTCAAGTAGAAATTAAGTTTTTCTTGATGATAATTTAATAAATCTTTCGTAAATTTATAAATTAATTTCTAATGATAGCAAAATCTTGTTCATGAACAATTTTTACCTTTCAAGTAAACAACCGAATCCAATGGATTAAATTACAAAAAAAATATAATGAATGATCAAATTAGCTTTCTAAGAAAAATAACAATCCCATAATAATCCCACGGGCCGGCTTTGAATATTCCAACTGATATAATTGGGAGGGAGGGATTGACATTGGGATTAAATAAATTAAACCACAAAAGCCTAATAAAAGAATGAAAAGGAATCATTGGGCCAACCAAGGATTTTGAAACCCTTTATATATAAATACAGTGTTTTGATTTGATTTTCTGTATTATTTTCTATCAAATCCAACTTTTGGAATAAAGACAGACTTATCAACTTTTCTCATCTCACCTTCGCTTCATTGTTCCCAGATCCAAATTCAGATTTTGATTTCTTCTTTTTTATTATTATTTATAGATTTTAGGGTTTTCAATTCTGATTTGAATTCAAGTGCATATCATCTTTTGAGGCTCATAAAATAATAAAATATACTTGTGTTTATCTGTCAAGCCGCCACCAAAATAAAATAATAAAACATTGGCCCAATAACTATTCAAATAGCTAGGGATATTTCCAAGTGCCAGCCACAAAAAATTATAAACAATTTTGCGTAGGAAGAAAAAAAAGCAGATCCAAGTTGGAATGTGGATAAATAATATTCATGTTCAAAAAAAACCAGAGAGAAAATGTCATGTCAAGTTAATTCCATGAATCTAGATGAAATTTGTTAGATTTCAAGATTCTCATTCTAAAACAGCTCTGGAAAAGTATCAAATCTACCGTCCAAATATACGTTAGAAGAATGCAGAATGAAGTCAAATAAAAATAGGAAAAAGAAAGAAAATAATTTTTTGCATCTTTAGATATAAATGGAAAATATTGGTAAAAAAAACCTTTATTTAAAAATTTTATTGGTCAGAAGCACCTGAATCGGTATATAATACACATCAGATCTTTCTCATCTATAATATTTCTAGTTTTGTCAATTTTCCCAGCAACATTATCATTTTTTTGCTTCTTCACATCTTTTATTTTAAGTATGGTTATTAGATATTTAAAAACGAGGTGGCATATTAGAATTTACTTAAAACAAAACAAAAAAAAGTATCTCTCAAATGTTTTGATTTCAATATTCTCATTAATTAATTAACCAGGGTTAAGGCTTTCAACAAAATCCACTCTCTCCATATGTCACTGGAGTGCTGGATTAGTATTCAAATTTAATAGCCTACGTAGTTAAATTATTAATTAAAAAAAATATACTACTCCGTCCTTTATTACAAGATCATTTTAACTAAATTATATGGTTTAAGAAAAAAGTTAAAATTAGTTAAAAGTAATTAATATGTAGCAAATGTAATTTTTTTTCCAAATACACCTTTATATGTAAATGGATAGATGTCAAAGAGTAATAGTGAGATAAATAAATAAAAAGAATGCATTAAATACATTAAACTATGGGTAAAATAGATAATAATGTATTAAATATACAGACAAACTCTAAAAAGATCTTATAAAAAAGATAAACCTATTCAAAAATTAGATATTATAATAAAAGGCGGAGGACACACGCACTAATCAACACCATAATGCCATATTCAAAAGTTAATTATTTGCAGAAACGACGCATTAATTACGTCCATATCTGTGTATATGAGAAACCCTAGGATTAATATTCCTTAATATTGGCCGTTACTGGTCTTCATACATATAAGAGCAAATTAATTAAATTAATTAATGAAATAATATAAAAGAAAAGGGTGAATCTTACCACATGTGAGTGTCAGTATTAATTAAATTAAATTAAATTAAAGAGTAAAGAGGAGGATGTGCCAAATGGATGCAAATGCAACTTCATCTTCTTCACGACCTTTCATAAATCTAAATCCACGCTCCCTCCTCTCTCCTATACAGTATATATTACTTTATTCACTAAAGCCTGCTTTGTACTTTGTTCTAATTAAATCTGCAACCAACCAATGTTTCTTAAACCAGATCGAACCTTTATGATTCTTGACAAATTTTGTGATTTTATTTCGCATTTTTTTATTGATTTTTCTTGAATTAATCTTATGAGATTCGAATAAGTTTGAGTACTATTTTTTTATTACTCCGTCCGTACCTTATTATAAGCAATATAGGACTTCATTACGCGGAAAAAAAGTTAGTTAAAGACAATAAATAGGTAAAAATTAGAAGTTCTTTCTTCAAAATACCCTTATTTATGAGGGGAGATCAGTATAAGAAAATTAGTATAATAAAGAGAATTATAAAAGAGAGAGAATGTGTGATGGAGAGAGATGATGATTTGGAACACAAGACAATAAATATATTAAATATTAAAATAAGTAATTAATGGGGTAAAATAGAAAATTTGTCATAAAAATTTAAGACAACTTGCAAATTTTGCTTATATTTAAAGATAAGAGTGGACTAGTAGTAGTTACTTATAAAAAGGGACGGAGGGAGTACAATGTTAGTTCAATGAATTTATAGGATGACTCTGCAATTGAATGATGTTATCTTCTTTAATATATATATATATATATATATATATATATATAATCTAAGTATGCATTATCAGCAATTAACTGCAGAGTCATCGATCATGTGAATATATTAAGCCAGCATTTTACATTAAATGAGACTGAGAATATTAAGATTAAGTGACTAAAAATAAAACTCAAGGAACTCGTAAACTAAATTTGATGTGAACTTAGAGGATTATAGCCTAAACTTATTATATTGGCATGTAATATAATGGACCCATAGTGGGTAAGAGTTAGTAAATGGGTATACGCATGTTAATTATTGTATAATAATTAAAAAAAACATTTAATTTCAAATATATGTGGTTTTCAAGAGGAGATATTTTAAAGTATTGTGTGGATGATGGGAGTAAGAAGACCAAGCAATGAGGTGAAATATAGAATAATGATTTGAGGAGAGAAAAAATCACAATAAGTAGCAAAAGAGAAACAAAAGTTGAGGGTAAGATAGGGTTGGAGGGTTAGGTCAACATTATTTGAGAATATATAATTGACTGTTAGCTCCCATATTG